TTATTTTGGTGCCATCATCAGTAGAATTAGCATGTATAAGCTTAAGTTAGCATGCTAAACAAAGATAGCGACCATTATAAAAAAACTTAAATGCTAAATCAGCATTGTTATCGTGTGTGAGCCGAAATGATGAGTATGTTTTAGCTCAAGCTCAGTACAGCCTGTATGATAATAAATTCTTAATGTAGTTTATAAATCATAGTGACAAGGAGCTCGTATACAATTTATGGTATATTTAATCATTATGAGGGAGTGAGATCAGTCATGTGGATTGAATCAGGGTTTATTGCAAGTTATCGATCTTCTGACTTAAAGTTTAATTGTTTTATCACAATCACCTCAGGGGTTGTATCACCTCTCTCACTCTCTCTACACAAAGACACACACACACAGACACACACACACACACACAGACACACACACACAGACACACACATTCACAGATACCGCAGCTGTTTTTCTAATGCAATGATCCGCTGGACTGAGCTAGTTGTTTCCTCTTCACAGTTTGCTGTTTTTTCTGCTTCTCTGACTCAAACTCAGGTGTATGTCATCACTTACGAGTGGCTTCTGTACTTACTTCAGCATCTGTGATCATAATGACTTTGCACAGAGGAGAGATTTTCCTCACGTTGCTGGATGGAGGCCCATTGCTACTTTCCAAGCCAGACTTCAGTTTGTAATCTGCTGTGTAGGCTTGGCAGCCTGACTCAGGGAGGAGGAGGAGGAGAGAAATGAGCATAGGGACAGGATTAGAGGGACGTCAGATTAAGCAGAGTTCAATAAACTGCAGAGGAAATGGATATTTTTGGGATAACTGTGCGCATGTTTGATTGTTTATATGCAAGGCTGAGACAGAAAGAGAAGATTCATGGAGTCCTGTGGTTAAACCTGCTGAGTCATGCTGTGACAAAATTTGTCCAAATGTTGTGTGAAACCACACCAGTCAGCGTGTATCCCTCAGTATCCAACTCGCTTCTGGAGGTGGAGAGTGTCACTGTTAGCAAGAGCAGCCGGCAGTGTTCATAGTGAATGACTCGTCTGATGTATGCAGAAGAGCAGCTCAATGAGCCGTTAAAGGTCTGTTAAAGCTTCTGCATGTCCAGCTCTGTTAGAGCTCAGTGTGCTTCCACTTTACAGCCCAATTGTTTCACTTCTTTTATAGTAAGGCATCAATTCTGTTTGATTTAGCTCCTGTTGCTATGTCACAGCTCTCTCTCAGAGCCGCTCTTTGAATTGTTTGCTATTGATCAGCTCATCTCAGGGAGATAAAAATAGGCCCAGAAGGGCTTACTTTATTGTAGCTTCCACTTCGATTACTTTTTGTGTTGTAAATGGAGGTGCTATGATGCAAGACAAATATTAGTCATTGTCTGACTGTTAAATCCCACTCCCATCAATCCATCAACCCATCAATCAGTTTTAGACTTTTCAACAAGACGATTGAATACATTTATAGTCAAATTCTAAAAACAGAACTACAAGCCATGTGTTATGCATTAATCTAAAAAGTTTATAGTTTGTTTAATTGTTTTCTGATCTCACACATTCTAAATCTCCTGTTCTTTAATTTATTTGTTCGTCAATTTGATGAACATGTGTGCAAAAATGTATCATTTGATATAAGTAAAAAGAAACTGCTGTCTTAAATTCCATTGTTAACCTGAAAAAACAATTAAACTTAAGTAATATTATTTTTCCAGAAACCTCAATGTAAATGTTTTCCTCAGAGCTCTGCATGCCCTCTTCCTGCACATTTAGACTATGTTATTATGAAGCCATTTTTAACTGCAAAATGATTCCTGAGCTAAATGTATGGTACATCTGCCTCTTTGATAACACCGGATTATTATGGATTTGCTTTGTGATCTATATCCTCAGGGAATCTCCTCCTCAGTTGTCACTGCAAGGAGGATCAGAAGCTTTCTATCTGCCAGAATCTGAATATTGATTGGAAGCTAACAGAACTAGGAGGGACTCTTGCGGTGCAGAAAGAGCTGCTGAATTATTTCTGTGTTGTATTTTTGTACCTCTGCAGACCACTCTGACAGTGAGATGTACAGCAGTCCAGCAGATCTGCAGTTGATCAGCTTACCTCCTACACTCCACATCCTGCTGCTTTGTAAATCCTTCTCAAAACTGCGATCTAGCATCTCAGGAAGTGACATCGCTGGCACAGCGATAAATCACACTAAGGTTGGGTTTCGGTAATGTGTGCCAGTTTGGAGGCCTTAAGCTTCCTCTCCTTTCTCCCACTTGCTTTTGTCTCGTGTTACCTTACAGCTCTTCTGAGAGTTGGGTAATGATGCATTCTTGGCCACAGAGCACACAACGTGTTTACTACAGAGCATGCTGTTATGTAAGAAACATAACATCTCTGATTATGTTGTGGAAGCTCATTTTGACAGCATGTGATGACTGATGTCTTTAGCTCAGGTGTAATCGCTGTATTGATGCAAAGCTTTGTCAGCACTCTGTCGCTGCTCCATTTCCCTCAGACTGTTTATTCAGTTCGGAGTGTACACAAGCCGTGCAGCTGCGATTCAGGACTGTATCGATCGAAAGTGAGGAGAGCGTGTGTTTGCTGGAGGACAGATGGTTCTGTGGTCACGGCTCTGTGAATGATCATATTCTGTACATGCATCAGAATATGGCTATAACATCCAATCCTCTACAAGCTGTTGGAAAAGACATGGGAGTACACAGCTTGAGCTTTACTCTTGTTCCAAGTCTTTATTTGAATATGTTTATGTGTGAATGGGCTCATTAGCCTCTTTCTGTTAGATATTAAGGCTTTTAAAGCGCCTGCAGTATATCTGTCATCCGATCAGTTTGTCTCTTTCATGGGATGTCTCACTCACATTTATCACATACAAAAACAGCCACAGATCAATTGCTGCTAATGGACTGTAAGTCATTAGACTGATCTTTATAGAAGCTAGCTAACTGAACTAAAAGGGTGGCAGCCTGTCTGAGAGAATAGGCCACAACAGTTTGAAAGAAAAAGATAAATCCCACTTTAGAGGTTTTATTATAAACATTCACTAGTCCAATGAAAATGCACAAATACTGGTAAACATATTCCATATAAATAGAGGAGGTTTTGGTTGAGAAGGAATGCAGAATGTGGGGGCTGTGGCATCAAATGAAATGTCTCAGGCTCTAAACTTTAGGTTCAAGTAAAACAATTCAACTTTTTTTCATGTTTATTTTTGTTTTTTCGTGCCTTTATTTTCAGAGATAGGACAGTGGATAGAGTCAGAAATATGGGAGAGGTGATTGGGGAATGACATACTTTAAAGGAGCCACAGGCTGGATTTGAACCGAGGCCGTCTGCTTGGAGGACCATGGCTTCCGCACATGGGGCGCGCGCTCTAACAACTTTCTCTAATTGAATGAACAGTCAAATTAAAAACCAAAAACATTCTTCTTTCTGAGGTTTTATGGATATATAGGGGGGCTTTATGTGGTTTGGTATGACGAGTAGCTTTTGGTGTCTTACATGAGCAGACTTATGATAACTGTTGTTCCAATTTAGACGGATTATGTTTTTCAATGCAAAGAGCTTTGCTAATTATTTTGATATATGTGTCAATAAGTGATAGCGGGCATTAGCTGGGGCATTGTGTTGGGTCTTTGTCTGTCCTTGGTCGCGATGACAGAATGGCAGTGTTCATATGTGGAGGAGTTTTGGAGGTATGCCTAACTTCTTGACACATTTTTTTAAGAATAATGGTGAAATTTTACCTCCAAAATGTTTGAGGCATTCAACAGGGAAGCCATCTGGACCTGCTGATTTATTGTTTGACGTTTGGTTGAGTGCTTTAAAATATTCATCGTGTGTGAGGGGGTTTGTCCAGGTCATTTGCTTGATCGTTTGGTAATTTGGGAAGGTTAAGATTCTCCGGAAACGAGTCAATGTCTGATGCTTCCAGTTCATGGGTCGCAGGAGTACGATAGAATGATCTGGAAGTGTTGTTAATGTGTTCAGCTGTTTGCATTAGCCTCCCTGCTGAACCCTTCAATGCTGAGATGAATGACTTGTCTTTATTGCGCTTGAGTTGTTTTGCTAAGTACTGTATTTCCCAGAATTATCATGTTTGAATTTCTCACTTCTTAATCTTTCTATCATGAATTGTGTTTGTTGGAATTTAACGCCTGTTAGTTTGTATTAGCATAGGAGTCATTCAATTGTTTAAGTTGTTCTTGCAAATCATTTTCAATTCTCATTTCTTTTTTTCTTGTATGGTGAATATGATGTAACTTTTTCTCTCATTACTACTTCGATCGTTTCCCATTATGTTGTTGGTAATAATTCTTGATAATGGTTTAACCCGCTCTGTGCAGCCCTGTAAATGTCAAAACCTGAATTTTTGAGTAAAGACGTATTAAAACATTGTCTTGTACTGGAAGAATTGCTATAGTTGATATTCAGGAAGAAAGACACAGAGATATGGTCACTGATCAAGATGGGATGTATTTTTGTGTCTGAGACGTTTGAGATGATGGAGATGCTAATGAGAAAGAAAGAAAGAAGGTATGCTGAATCTGTGAAAAGTCTCTGGTAGTTGCCAAATGTCTCCAAGACAAAAGTCTTTCATATGTAGCTTAATGGTTTCAAATGAATTCCATGGTTTGAACCTGTTTGGTTGACATGACTTTTCTCCCCGTGTGCTAGTGTGAAAACAGTTTAGTAGTTTAGCTAAAATCAAAGGAGCAACAAATGGCGTACTGAGTGCTACACTTGTAGTAGTCCGTGTTTTGCAAAAGTTAAATTATCAGTTTTATTTCAACAGTTGAAGATGATTAACGATATCGTCACATTTATTAGTAATGGGGATACAGGATTAACTTTATTATCTTATCTTAATCCTTTAAACAATTTGAATACCACTATGTATCAACGGTGCTTTATGAATAAGCTTGCCTTGACTCAGAAATTGCAACGTGTGTGAAACAGCTAACTTGTCTTGGCTAACAGTCTATTTCTCTCTCTTCAGGTATGATTCAGTCCTGATGGCACACTCTGAGCTGTTTGAGACGTTAGCGCCCCCTGTGGAAGGGAGGTCTGTGGAGCTAGATGTTCTGAGCTTCTTGGACTCGTTTGGAGACGGAAACAGCACGGCTGAGAGATGCTACCGCTCACACTCCCGCAGCAGCGTCCTACAGGGGCTTCCGTTTGGAGGGGTGCCCACGGTCCTCGCCATTAATGTGGTGCTCTGGATGGTGAGAATTCACACGCAGACATAATTCATAATATTCACAGTTTATAAAATTAACGACACAAAGACATGATCAGTTAACATCTGATTGGAAAATGTTTCTGTATAATTTTCCAAAAGTCCCATGTTCTTTGATAACCTTTTGAAATTGCTCATATAGATGGAAATCAGGAATTACTTAATTTACAATTGATTCATTTGATTATTAATTTCCCATTAAATTGGTTCATTTTAAAAATTTCAGAAGCAAAATATCCCTTACAAGTTCTCACCAACCATGCTGATGTCCTAAAATGTTACACCGAAACAACGGCCTAAAAGTGAGTCAGTTTATTAGATTAACTAATTAAATATGTATTTTACAAATAAGCAATTATATAAAGTTAGTGGGAATGCTGTTTTAAATGTTTTACACACCAAATCAACTCCTATTTGTTTACCTTTGCGGCTCAGTTGGTCTTGACAACAAGGTTCCTGAAAATACACAGAGCTCTGCCAACACCCTGTTGAGATGTAATGAAGACCCTGATACAAGCTGGCAGCGCACGGTGACACATTGTCAGAGGGCTGTTACTGTAAAAATAAAGAATCTAATGGATACGCTGTCTCAAACACTTCTCTCTGAACTTGACAATGATGAAGTACAGCAGCAGCATCAGGAGTGTAGCACACATATGTAAAAAAAAAAACTGCAAACAAACTTTGTTCTTACAAATATTTTCATTTTTGAATGAAGTGTTTGGACCTGCTGTAAACACTGCACATCTCTCCTCCAAACACAAAGCTCCTGTGAGTGGTTTTTAAAATGTTATTGAACAAAAACTACAAATGTATTTAAATGCCTCTAAAAAAGCAAACAAGACCATCAGCAAAAACTGTTTTATTTCGACATAGTTATAATGAATGCCTCAGACTGCTGCCGCTGGGTATATGTCAGACGAGTTGATTGAGAGCACACTACCGAAACAGCTTGTTTGTTTTTTTTAGCACTACAGATGTCGTGTACATGGTGGTTATGGTTATAAACTCCAGACAAGAATATCCTGTAGTCAAATGTTGGGCTGGTACTGATATTCCTCAAACAGTCCAAAAAAATGTTGTTTTATATATTACATTCATTCAGTTACATATTTCTCTGCTGATCCAGGAACATTTATCACCTTACCAAGCACGGTAGAGCTTGTATCCTTCTTGTTGCGGCCTTTGAAAGCAGTCTGTGCATGTCATGTATATCAGATTTCACAAAAGATACATGCTTTATATTTCTTTCACGCGTAAAACACATCAAATCTGGGGCACAGGTGGCCTGGTGTTAAGGTCGTGCCCCATATAGGAGGCTATAGTCCTCCAAACAGGCGTCCAGGGTTCAAGTCAGGCCTGTGGCTCTTAAATGTCATCACTCACTCTCTCTCCCCCGTTTCCTACTCTATCCACTGCCCCACCAAATACAGACAAAATCTCAAAAATAAATCAACAAAACCCCCCCACATGAAATCTAGATTCACCTCTCTTTCTATGTAAACACTGTCAGCAAACATGGTTCTGTGTTTAAGCTCTTGTCTCCAGTTAATAAAGGGCTTCAGTTTCACTTGTCAGGGGCCTCGGTTCCTCTGTCAGGCCTTGTCAAGTTTGATCTCTGCACTCACATCATTCTCAGTCTGACACCTTCGTGCCTTAATTGGCTCGTTTTATCATTGGCCCAGTTGCCAAGACAACACTGAGGGTTGAGCACTGTGTCTTAATGACAGGCATGAGTCAAAGCATGCCCCCCCCCCCCAGATGACAAGAGCACGCCTCTGCATCAATTCCATCATCATACAGGGAAAAAAAAAATCATCTGTGGGACCTGTGGAGAACACGCCCATGCATTGGAATAGAATAAAATAAAACAACAGGAAGAAAGACAGCGAGATGATGGAGGGGTTCTTATTCAAGTATGGAGTTTGAGCCCTGAAAATGTGAATGCAGCGCACGCTCATTCATCATCTACATCTTAGTCAAGGATGCCGTGATTGTGTATGCATGGCTCTAAATCACTAAAACATGAATCATTCAAAGTTGAGTAGAGCTTTCCTTATATCAACATCACTGCTACCAAATGTCTCCTAACCACAAATGAGTTAATGATTTAATGTTGCATTAAAATTAAACATTCATCAGCACTTTTACCCAATTTCCATTTGGCAATATTCATCTATCATCCCCCAGTTATGCTCTTGGGCATTCATTTAATCAGCATGAATCCACTATTGTGAACTGTTATATGTCATTGAATATGTTTTTATCTCCTTTTATTCATCAGTGTGGAGTCTATTCAGATTTATTCTTGCCTTTGACTAGACTCATTCTTCATTAGTGCTAAGCATGTGTTCTTGTGTGCATGCTGACCTGTCTCCGGTTGTTTCCAAGACAACCACGTACTACTCTAAAGAAAGAAGATGGAGCTATAGGTTTTCAACCTTTTATTCATAGGCTTTGTATGAGTGGATGCAGAAATAGGCTCCAGCTTTCAAATAAATGAAAAGGTTTTGCAGATGACTACGTAGTGAGTGTGTGATGGTTTGAATCAGATCTCCTGTAGCTCATTATAAATGTTTGTGTTCTGTGTTTCAGTTCCTGTTGCTCATCTTCTCCTGTTTGAGGAAGGCTGCATGGGACTACGGTCGCCTGGCTCTGCTGATGGAGAACGACAGGTGAATCCATCTACTGCTGTCTTGTGCACTTTCTGATCCTTGAGCCACGTCCACATTTAAGATGGAGAAATAATTCAAAGTAGAGCCCCTCCTGAGTCCTGATCCTGAAGGCTGCAGCTCCCTCTGCTGGCAGTGCACAGGAAACAGAGATAAAAATGAAGGCTTAAATATATTTTGTTAACACTGAAATGAATTTAAATACAGCCCAGAGGGAGGCCTACATATTCAATGAGGATGTTGAACAGAGTGGTTTGGATAAACTAGTCTCCTTACTCTTTAAAAAATAGGACTGCAACTAACTATTACTTCCATTGAAGGTTAATAAAATGTTTTTTTAATGCCTCTGTGGGGAAGTTTGTGTGTCTTGAATTAGGCTATCCTTGTGACTGATCGCGCCTTTGCTGAATTTGACCTGTACGTGTAGGCTTATTAATTATTTTAACAAAAAAATCTCACCCATCTTTGTTGAAAGTCAAATGTATCGCCCATCGACATCCAACACCTTCCCCACACTGGTGGTCTTGTCTGCTTTTAAATGTCATAAAGAGGCAGCAATATTTATTTTAGTAAGCTAAAAACTTCTCACATGAGCTTTAAAACAAATATGTTTAAAACAAATAACAAAAAACATCACTTTTCCATCACTATTTTTCAAAGAACTGCCCTTAATTTAAAAAAAATAAATAAATTGAGTACCAGTACCAGAAGATGTTCAGTGTAAAGCTATATAAAATTCATAAAAAGAAACCTGCTGCAGCCAATGTTTGGTATTTTCTCTTGATACACAAAGGTCAAGTCTAGAGGGCTTGTGGTATTCTATATATTTTTGATATTGTCAGCAAATCCCCTGCAAGGATTCTATTTTTATCCTGTCTGAGTCAACTCCAGTAGTGCCTTGTATATATCGTATATCTATCTGTGTCTAATACGTCTTTTCTAAAGTTCACATAAAAGTTGAATTCTCACTAATTAAACAGCTGGGCACTTGCTCAAACACAAGAAAATAAAGCATTTTGTGTGGAACTACTTTCAGATGCGGATTAACACACTTGATGCATGCGGATATCAGGCAGTAGTAATAAACCTTGGCTGCACAGAACATACTGTTAGTTTTGATGATTATTAATTTAGGAGTATTTGATTAACAGTTTAACAAAGAAATTAGTATTTAGTTGATCAACAAGTTGAATTGACCTTTCCAGCGTCTATTTCGATATTGTTAAGGTTACAAAGAAGTCAAAGTGCACCTATCAGTCAGCATGAGTCTGCAATGTTTCTTCTCCTGGGTCTGCTCGATTAGTTCTGGATGACCGGCAGCCGCTTCACAGCACCCGAGGGCGAGCATCATCTGTGTGCTTTCCCACGTAGCTCTCTCTCATACTAATTCAATTATCCTGCTAAATTTGACATGCTGTTGAACTGTCAGCACTGCGGCCCATAGAGAAATATCCACAAACTCGATCATCACTGTGGCTTTATTAGATTGGACTGTATTGTATTGTTTTATGTCTTCTCTCTGTATAAACACACATTGGGATTTATGTCAGACAGGTACTGTGGGGGCTGTCTGCTGCAGTGACATTCGGTTTGAGTTGTTTTTCTCTTTTACAGCCCTGAAATGAATTCAATCAAAGAGTGTTCATAAGGTCGTGTCAGGAAACAATCGATATCTTGTTATTTCGTTGTTTATCTTCCAATCCAGTCTCACCTCCCTGTTTTATGGAGAACCAAGTGAGAAAGAGAAGTCTCCCTCTGAGTCCAGCCCCTCTGACTCTGACACCAAGGACATGGTGAGTGTTTTTTTTTTTTTTAACAGTTTTTCAGTGTAAACATTTTAATCAGCTCCTTAAGTAGAGATGAACCCCTTAACAGCATTTCAGATTGATCAACGCTACTCTGTGGATTTCATCCTAAAAAAAAAACATTGCTGTGTTTATACTCAGTTTCCCTCAACTAAATACATTTCTCTATGTCCCAAAGGTCTAACGAAGGTGTTGAATGCTTTTCTTACTAATTCAGTTTTTCTTTTTTCTATTTTATGTGTTAAAACCTGCACCCTAACCCCTAACCGCCTCTAACCCAGAAAACTGCATTGTTCACTTACAATGTTAAAATCAGAACGAGATCCTTTTCAGCCGCCTTACTTTGAAGCTGCAGTTGATACTTTTAGTTTTATTGACAATACATTAAATAGCCATAATGAAAAGGAAGTCCCACTGAGTGATTGATGCACAAAGAAAGATCATTCTACCATGCAGTCCCTTTTGGCTGTGGAGCGTCTCTGAGCTCATTGTTTTAACGTTGTTGTGTTACAAACCATAGCAGTCAAATGTGTTGGCAAAAGAGGATAATAATATTTGCTCTCTGTTTTGCATCAGACAGCAGGAAGGAAAAAATGAGTAACAAGCTAATGGAAGCAAAAAGCAACTTACTGTAAACTTTTTATTAGTGAAACAAGATCAGAATGAATATTGGACTTACTGACAATACAACTGCTAACAAATGCTAACACTACTCCTGGTTAGCCAGATGTGTAAATCACTGCATCTATTCATTAGTATAAGCTGTTGGAGCAGACTGTAGTATGAGAGAGCTACATGTCTTGGGAACCTGCAGTGAAAACAGATGGAATTATTTCTTGGTCCAAACTCCTTCCTTTTGTTTTGTCACTCTTTTAGAAATAATGAGAAGTTTTTCAACTTTTCCATTAAATTAACTTGTTTTAGTCCCCTGACGCCTCACTGTTACCCCACTATATAGCAGAAGTATCCGCCTGTATCTGCCCTTGATTAAAGGCTCCTTTGCAATGTGGTCATTTGTACAGAGGCTGCGGCCAGCGATGGCAATCTGCACTGCATCCACTGGTTCCATCATTGCACAAAGACCCTTTTTATCTTTGTTAGGAACTCCTTGAAATGCTCAATTCAAGGTTGTGAGGCGTCAAAAGGAAACTAAAAGATGTGTTTTTACAGAAACAAGTATGCAGAATGGAACTATCAACCCTATATTCATTTAGCATTTGCATAAAGTGTTCATCCATATTCTGGTTAAAGTCTTGAATAAAGGGACTTGCTTATCCTCAAACTGCTCTAGAGCACTACTAGTGGAGGAAACTCCACAGGACACCTATAAGAACTAAACAGGATGATTCAAGTTAACCGGAATTGCATTTGAGGAGGAGACACTCCGGTTGTCTGCAGAACACAATGTTACATAGATTACTTTATAGGAACAATCAACATGTCTCAACATTTCCACTAATGTATAGTAGTCTTCCCGATCATGTTCTCATTCATTTACGGTTGCTGTCACAGTTCATTTGTCAGTGCTGTATAAATGTCTAAAAATGCAGCATGATGCACTTTTACAATAAAGCCTCTTGTCCAAGTTGACACTATGTCAACATTTGTAAGAGGAAAGTTTGGATCATGACTCAGCCGGGCTGCCTGTGACTCTGTGACACCTGTGTGACAGACTGAGGTCACTCCCTATGTGTTTACAGCCGTGTAAGACAGAGACTCAGACTGGAGTCATCGCACTGTGCCTACACAGAGCTGAGGCTGCAGTAAAGTGGTTACTGCTGCAGGCTAGACCTATTAAATCTCCATCTCTTTGTCACTCTGCAGACCTTATTACTATGCTAATGGCGGATGCATGCAAATATCCAGATGTGGTGCGCACAGACTTGCATACAGATGTAATTCATTTTCCTAAATAACACATCTATTTCATGTTTATGATTGTCTTCTCCGTGCAGGGTTTCTGCTCCTGGCTCTCATCACTTTACCAAATGAAGTAAGTACACAAAGTCGTTGCCCTTCGAATTAGTTCACCCTACTTTTATGCTAGCTCCTATCCTTTTATTGGCTCTGTCTTCAAAGTTAATGTCACCGTTGAATGTAAAGCCCTGTGTTATATGTCATTTAGCAGGAAAAGCAAACAAGTCTGAGCTCATGTGACCGCTCCTGCCGAGGTTTCCACTTGAATATTTGCACTTGCTCGAGTCTGACTGCACACAAACAGATTTAGGCTCTTAAAAAAGGCGATGTTCACGGTGTCCATGGTTTCCATAGTATAATGGTGGAGTTTGGGTGCAGCTTTTTTTAGCTCTCATGCCACTGGCTCACCCAGGGATCCCTGGGAAAGTGTGAACCCACCCTGCAAGTTCGCAATGTGTGGGCTACCGACGTGAGACCAGAATGCACCTCTCTTTTTTTGTCGTGCTTTTTTTTTTGTTCTACTTTATGAGACTGGTTTTCCTGAAACTCCTGCCTGGTGGCCACAGCTTCTGGCACCAACATAGGGGTGCCACCGTTTTAAACATGATGAGGTATAGTGGCCCATATGTCCTCACACTAGAGCTACATACAAGTTAAGGACTTAAGGAGTGAATTACTGAAGCTCAGTTTGCAGCGTTTCTGATTTTGTCACACAAAAAAAGAGAGTATCTCTCAGATTAAATAAAGAGATTCTTATTCTTGTATTCCGCTTTGTTTCTGCAGGGATGAAGAGATCCGTAGTAAATGCGGTGTTGATGCTGTAACATACCTGTCCTTCCAGCGCCACATCATCCTGCTCATGACGGTGGTTTGCCTGCTGTCTTTGGCCGTTATCCTGCCGGTCAACTTTTCCGGGAACCTCCAGGGTATTTTGGTCCTCTACATGATGGTCTAGCTGGCCTGACTGTTTAAAAAGCATAAGGATATCCTTAACCTCAGGAGAGACACATCGGGGAACCTCACAGGGAGAGAAGCCAGGCCACACAGAGACAATCACACGCAGCTACACTTGAAAGGATTTATTGGCTGAATGCAAAGAAACTTTAACTTTATACAGTCTGCGGTCCAGCCGAGTTTAAAAAAGACAAAGCATTTTGCATACATGAAACAAGATTAAATATAATTTTAGCTTTAAATGACCCATACAAGGATATAATGAAGTCAAACCACTACTATTTTCATCCACAAAGGCTGCACTTCATCTAATGGGAGTTTCTAGTATGTCAGTGGCAATTCATCAAGTAGGATTGTGAAAATAGAACGTGCTTCATTTCCTTTTAACATACACATGTAGTTGTCAGGAGTTGGATGAAGCAGAAAATTAGCTGCTAAATACAAATAGAAATGCCTTTTGGAAGCAGTGTGCTTATTCTGCTGGAAGTGTTGAGTAAGTGATTCCATGACTGCACGAAGTGCAGGAGCCAATATAAGAGCAGAGCTATCCACAGAAACTTTTTTTATTACTGCTGGCTGTCATCTTATGGGCCAGTGTGTCACCCCGGTCATTAAATAAACCAACACCCTCTGACAGGCTGCCACAGCAACAGCAAACAAAGGGTGCCCCAATTAGAGCAGCAAGACTGCAGTGTTTGAATTTTGTGTCGCTGAGATGAGAAGATTTAATTAAATGCTTTTCTCGACATAGTTCCATTGCTTCAGCCTCCAGACAAAAGAGAAGTCTCCTTGAAGTCATTTAAAAATGTAAAGTCTCGCTCTCTGTCATGTTGCATTATTTCTACAGGAGACAGTCCTGAGAACTTTGGAAGAACAACTCTGGCTAATGTTAGCGCGAAGTAAGTCCAACACTCCATGAATTACATCAAATCTCATGAAAGAGCACAGAGCAGTGTGAACAACACTGGACTATCTTTATCCGTCTATATTGCAGCAGTGTTCTTGTGCCTCACAGGGACAGCTTTCTGTGGCTCCACAGCGTTTTTGCTCTGGTCTACTTCATCATCACAGTGCTGTGTATGGCTCACCACTCCATACGGCTGGAGTACAGAGAGGATGAGAAGGTTTGTCTCCCAACACATGTTTTTATATCATGGTCTGGCTATTTTTTCATTGCGAAAAACATCCAGTCAATTTTCATACTTTGGCACTTAAGCATGGTAATTAGCGCTCAACACAAAGTGCAGCCAAGGCTGATGGGACTTTCACCATTTTTACAACTATTTCATCATAAACTAAAACTCAAGCAGGATTTTATCTCTTTGGCTGCATTATTTGGAGACTTAACGGATCATCACAGTAGAGTTTACACTCTGGGGAACATGAAGGAGTGCTCAATTTAAGTGTCAGACGATAAGAGATCAAAGACATCGCGATCATGCACTGGGGTCGCTGGGGCTCAGTTGGTAGAGTTGTCGTCTCTCAACTGGAGGGTTCGATCCCCAGCTCCTGCAGCAACCAAATCCTGTTGCGGACATGCAGTGTAAAAGTGCTTTGAGTAGCCAGAAGATTAGAAAAGCGCTATACAAGCTCAAGTCCATTAACTGTTTTACTGTCATAGACTTTATAAACTAAGTGGACTCGACATGATGACGTTACCCATTGGTTTGTGTACAACTTTTATGAGTCCTCAGTTTGTGATTCTCACCATCTTTGGTTTTTGGAACCAGTGTTGACTATATTTGGACATAGGGCTGACATGCATTACATAGACTCTATTGAGGTGGATGTACCTAACGTAACTTATTATTTTTAAATGCATTTTGTGTCACAGGTAGCCAGGACGCTGATGATTACCTGCATACCAAGAGAGATCTCTGACCCAGGACTCATCACCAAACATTTTCAGTACACATTTTTCTATTTCATTCTATTTTGTATTGATTTGAGCAAAGGAAGCCCTGACTATCTTTTTTGCACACCTGTAGATGCTCTCATCACCATCATTATGATTTACTCCTTTTGTTCCATTCACTAGTGAGGCCTATCCCAGCTGTACTGTCAATGATATCCGTTTCTGCTTTGATGTCCACAAGCTGATGAGGCTGGACTTAGAGAGGTACAGTAAAAAAAAAAAAACACTAAAGATTAGAGTTGCTCAGTTTGCAACATCAGTGTGAGCCACTTGTCTAAAGGGTGTCACGTTTTGTGTTTTGCAGGCGCAAGGCGATGAAAGGAAGGCTTTACTTTGCCACAAAGGCCCAGAAGGAGGGAAAGATCATGATCAAGACTCACCCTTGTGCTCAGATCTTCTGCTGTGACATCTGTGGCTTTGAAAAGGTACTTTTTTATCAGACACATTTGAATTAGAACGTTGACTGCTGCACAGAAAGTATGTAACCACTGGATGGCACTGCAATCCAGAAGTAGGTGCATGCAACAGTAACATGTCTTGCTCTGTAAATCAGTGGATTAATCTGAGGGTAGAAGATGCAGTGAGTACTGAAGGCTCTAATTTTTGATCTGCAGGTGGATGCCGAGCAATACTACAGCGAGTTAGAGGAGAAGCGCACGGACGAGTTTAACGCTGAGAAGAACCGCATCACCATGAAGAGGCTAGGCATTGCCTTTGTGACTTTCCGTGATGAGAGGATGACTGCTGTGTGAGTAAACAACAGCATGACATCACATTTATGTCCTCGCATCAAACCATGGCACAACAGGGAGCAGCTATAAAACACATGGGGGCATAAAAGCAAACATAGGTTTGGCTGTTTCTACATCTTGTTTTGTTTTTCCAGCATTGTGAAGGACTACAGTCGTGTGCACTGCCGCCACAAACCCCAGCAGTCCAGCATCACCACCGTGGTGCAGTCACAGAAGTGGGGGGTCAGCTACGCACCTGCTCCCAGTGACATTATATGGTTAGTACTTTAAGGGTGTTAGTCCTCTTCATTCCTCCAATCAAACCAACCAGACTTTATTTTTAGAGCACTTTTCATACAAAGCAAAATGTAACACAAAGTTCTTTACATAAATAAAAACAATATGAGCACCTGAAATCCTTTCACTAGGTAAAACAGAGGAAACTGGATCGTGAATTTGTGATAAGGAAACACAGGAGTAGGATTAGAAAGGTTACATTTCAAGATAGCTCAAAATAGACCTTCGCACATCCATTCCATAAACAGGTGCGTAGGAGAGCAATGTGTCCATCAAAAAGTTAAAGGTAAACCCCCGCACACTGTCTAACTCACAAACAAACTCTTATTGGCAACGTTTCGGTATTAGGCTTCATCATCAAGACAGTGAATAAAATACTAGGAGATTAAAAACAGTGGTGTATAAACAATAAAAAAAAACCTCTCTCGAGTCTCAAAGAAGCCTCAGAAGTCTTCACATTTGAACTTTTCAAGATTTCAAAAGAAAGGCCATGTCTTTGGTTTCATTGCAGCAGGCAATAGGAGAACTGTATGTTACACAGACAGACGAACATTCACTCTTACACCTACAGTAGAATCACTTTATTAACCTTTATGTTTGGACTGTGGGAGGTAACCAGAGCACCCTGAGGAAACCCACTTAGAAACATAATCTGAGCCTGATATCCAATGTGACATGTTTTAGGCATCACTTAGAACATTTCCGTGTAATGAACCCTGACATATTTGGAGACCCCTGGATTGTGACTAATGAAAGACCTGATGGAGCCTTTTTATTGCAAGAGACACATACTGTTATAATGATGTTTCTTAGCTTTGAAAGAAAACCAAAACATTAAAGGTGTTTCAGACCTCAAACACCCTTTAAAGCTCATTCCCTATTCTAAATACAATTCCCTATAATGCATCTTTTTTCTATTAGAAGGCAAAGCCCAGCCCCAGATAGATTATATAACGAATGTTGCATATGTATAGCAGACTAACCAAAGAGATGATCAGGGTCTGATTGGTTGCAGTGTTTGCGGAATGCATGAATGTGTTCCTGCACCAACTAGACGACTGGAGCAGGTACTTGTGTTCCTTAATTAAAAGTAGAGCACCGAAGTGTGCTGTGTCCAACCTGCTCTCCTGTCCAGTAGAGTGGAAACAACTCGCATATGAGAGGCGACTGAGCAAGCTATTTCAGGCTTATGTCAATACATTAAGAGCGGGAGTGTCGGGAGAAGAGGAAGAGTGTTAAATGCCCTGTCTGTTTCTGTGAATTGAGACACATCATTTCCCCCGTCACCTTGCAGGGAGAACCTGTCAGTGTGCGGTTCTCGCTGGTGGCTCCGCTGTGTCCTCCTCAACATCCTCCTCTTTCTGCTCCTCTTCTTCCTCACCACTCCTGCCATCATTGTCAACACCATGGACAAGTTCAACGTCACAAGGCCTGTGGAGAGTCTGCAGGTCAGAGTTTGACATTAAGTTGTGACCTTAAAGCTGCCTTTTTAAGTTTCTCTTTAGTAATCTTCTTCTTCTCCAAACCAGAGCCCGGTCATTACCCAGTTCTTCCCAACCCTCCTGCTGTGGGCGTTTTCCGTGCTCCTGCCCTTCATCGTCTACTACTCAGCCTTCTTTGAGTCCCACTGGACCAGGTACTCACCAGCCATCGGCCTCCTCTCTCCTCTCTCCTCAGAAATGGAATTACCTTTTAAACGAACCCTTCATGTGAAGCTGTCCGTCATCCTCTCAACTCTCAGCATTCCTTTTTTTTTTTTTTATCCTTGTCTAATTTATTTCTCTCTTTTTCACCCTGGTGCACTTTTTTCCTTTACTCTCTCCCTCCTTCCACCCGCCACTCTCCCTGCACTGTTATTCTGGGCAGGTTGTCATAGAGATCTCCATGTGAGAATAATGATATGCACAGTAGTCACAGCGCGCAGAGGAGCAGCACATGGTGACTAGCAGCAGGAGGAGGAGGAGCGGAACAACTGTGCATAGGGAGACATCCTCACGCAGCACCTATGAGCACCCTTTTCTTTACATAACTACCCCCCTCTCTACGTGTTGAGCGATGTGCGAGGCAGCGAATGCAAATCAACTGTTTACTGGAGTGCAAAGCGTAGTTTATGCTAATGAATCCAATGATCCAGTTAATGTAGAGTCAGCTGACTTAGAATAAATTAGTGGTTGAAGGGAACTTTGTAAATATGATTTTTAGCTAAACAGGCTTCCCATAATGATATTCTTACAATCCCATGTTTCTTAGGTCAGGGGAGAACCAAGTCACAATGCACAAGTGTTTTTTACTGCTGGTCTTCATGGTCATCATCCTGCCCTCGCTTGGTTTATCCAGGTACACCTAGAGCAGATCAGAACACACACAATACTCCTTATTTCATATATTCTTGCAATTGTTTTGAGTCAGTTCTCTAACTATTTTTTTCTTCTGTAGTCTTGACCTGTTCTTCACATGGCTCTTTGATGTGAACTTCCTGGATGAAAAAGAAGTCAAATTCCAGTAAGAGAACTCTTTTTGTCTAAATAAAGTTCATCAAAAAGACCCAGCTCGTAAAAAAGTAATAATATCTTTCGCTTTATTTATTAATTTGTTGTTGTTTTTATTTAATTTTTTTCAGGTGTGTGTTCCTTCCAGACAACGGTGCATTCTTTGTAAACTATGTCATCACATCCAGTCTGATCGGCACTTCTATGGAGCTGCTTCGTATCCCGGGGCTGACGGTCTACGCCCTCCGACTCTGCTTTGCCAAGTCCCAGGCCGAGCGCATTCACGTTAAAAGGGTAAACTGAGCCTCTCGTGCTTATCTCGCTGTTTTCTTTTCAGGTACATTAGATTATATAATTTTTCTAAATGTGAATTTCTCACTGTTTGTGATTGCCTCTGCAGAGTCAGGCCTACGAGTTCCAGTTTGGCCTGGAGTATGCCTGGACCATGTGTATATTTGCAGTCAGTATGACCTACAGCATCACATGTCCCATTATTACTCCTTTGGTAAGCAACAGGAAGTGACCATCTGTGTCTCCTCTTTTCTGTCATTCCTCTGCATCCCATCACATCCCCTCTTAGCCCTGTTTAGCGATTTCGCTCCTCTTACTCTGACCTCGCTCTCCTCTCCTGCCTGCCAGTCCGATGCAGACTGTGTGAATTTGCTGCTGTAGTCCCAGACACCAAGACACAGCGAGCTGCGAGCCAGACGCCCACTCTGCTCCTGTCTCTGTCTAGAGCACACCAAGCTCCTATTAACGTCTGAAGTCAAATTCTCAGTCCAAAGAGGCCTCTTCATACACAATTCCCTGCTGTTATCTGCCCTTTATTCCTATTATTTGTGCAAATTTGTATTTTGTTTGTGCATATATTTCTTCTCATTGTGTGTGTGTTTTTGTGCCCTCCAGGTCTACTTTATGCGATCCTGAAGCATATGGTCGACAGATACAACATCTACTATGCATACGTTCCTACCAAACTCAACCAGAGGATCCACAGAGCAGCCATCAGCCAGGTCATCGTGGCTCCAATCTTCTGCATGTTCTGGCTGCTCTTCTTCTCTGTGCTCAGACTAGGTGCCTTATCACTTCCCTTTCTGTCCTGTCACCGTCCTAGTAGCTGTCATTCTATGGTTTAGTGCACATTATAACATTGTGACCTTGTCATTTCTCCCCCTTACTGTCCCAGGTCCAGTGCATCCCATCACCCTCTTCACCTTCATGTCCCTGCTCTCCTCGGTTGCCTTCTCCCTCTTCCGCTTGTGCCTTAGGAAGCATCCAGACAAATCAACAAGCTACCAGGTCAGCTACTCCGTACCTCACTCAGATGAAGTTCAGTTGAAGATCTACTGATGCTGGATAAATAGTTTGTATGTTTCCTTTTTTGAAGATGTCCGATCAGCCAGCAGAGGGGACGTTCACCGATGCAGATAGGAGTACTGTAACATCCACCACTGCCTCCAGTGTACAGTGCAACATTTTCCTTTTTTGAATTTAACACATTTACAAAGCATATTGTTTTACTTTTTTGTTGTTGTTACTGTTAAATTGAGTTTTCACATCTGTGCATTTACTTTAAATGTTGGTAGTTCAAACATGTAAGTCAGCTGATATATATATACAGTATTTTATTAATACCTCACACACATATATGTATATGTGTAGTGTGCCAATTTTTTTTTTATCTTCATGAGCACCAAATTAAAATTCAAGTTATTGAATAACACTTCACATAAAAAGCTCGTCTAGACTGTACTCTTTGTAATTTCATTTCAAGAGACCAAACATTAATCCTTAGCAACAAGTGCAACAGAAAACTTCCTTACAAGAGGCCGAAACCTCGAGTAGAACCAGATTCATAGGTGAACACCCAACTACCACAGACTGATGGGCTGAGACAATAGGATGGAGGGAGGGACATAAAGAATTTAGAGGATCTGGAAACATCTTCCATCATAGAGTTAAACATGCACAATTCACAGGATGGTCCTCAAAATAACTTTCATTATCGTGTACATTTTTGGGAATTCATAATCTCTGCAATTTACTGATTTTTTTGGATTATATCCAGACTACTAATTATTAATTTGTTAAGAACCTGACTTTGATGCAAAGATATCATGTCACAATCATTTGATATTGAATGTAAATTGATCCATTTATGATCTAGTGTTGGATGGGAAAACAAACCCAAATTAAAATCCATTTTTATCTCATAGCCTCACCACCAGCCTCATTAATTGCATCAAGTGATTTACTGTTTGGCACCATCTTAAACTTTATGTTGTTCTTCCTCCAACAGCTCTTTGTGGCGACCGTGCTCCTGGAGCCAGAGCTGGCTTTGACCCCCATGCCCTCCCCTGCACACCACAGCTACGGCGCCATGGCCAGTTCACAGAGTTCAAGCCATGGCCCAGCGGAGGAAGAGGAGTGCGAAGAAGACCACGCCCAGACCCATGAAACTGAGCTCCAAGACCCTCCAGAACCCTACTGCTCCAGCCCACTCATGGACAGCCCAGTTGGCTACCAGTAACACTAAATCCCCCTAATCTAATTTATCCTATCCTTCACTGGGGAACACAGATTGCTGAAGGCTACATTGCTGCATTTTTGCCACTGAGCTTCGACTCCAACTAAGCTGCCTGGGACCCTGAGAATAGATTGGGCTTGTCAGAGAGGATGAAGAACAGGACGAGGAAAGATGCTTAAAAATACAGAAAGCAGACAAAAAACGTCAAATTAACAGCCAGGAGTTTTCCAAAAAATCTCCTAAACCTGAACACAAACTTCAACCCTGAGATAGAAACATGCACCCTCAATGTACAGATTATTTTGGTTAAACTGTTGAATGATCCAGGAGAGGGTTTTACTTGCTTCTAAGGCTTCATTTGCAAACTAGAAAATATTTAAACTAATCAAAGTGACTGGGGAAGAAGTTCCTTTGGGCTGCTATCAGAGATACTCTGTCCATGCGGTGCCACTTGGACATGAGTGGAGGTGAAAGTTCCCGTCAGAGTGGGTGGTGTGAGCAGGCTCGCCCTGGCAGACTGACACCGCGGTCTGGGCATGGGTGATTTCTGGTTCCTCTACGGCAGAGCTCGGGGAGGCTGAGGGTGAGGGCAGCTAGTTGTGAAGCCATCTGCAGTGAGAGGGCAGACAGACGGAGGGCCGAATGTAACTCAGAGACGCGCTGTAATTTATGTCCACGTTCTCCGAGGAGGCACAAGCAGCTTGATGTAACTATTATCAAGTTGAAGTTGCTATTTTTGCTACGGTATTTTGTGGTGTTGTTGATGTTGTGCTTTTGGTTTTGGGTTGGGGAACTGCAAAATGGTCCTGGATTTACAGAGCTGTGTATTCAATCCAACTCCCTTTGTATTTATTTTAAACAAACTGTTTAACTGAGTAATTTGTTATCTTGCCAAGAATTCAATGAAAGGTTGATAACCACTCTTGTTCCTCTATAGTAAATATGAAGCTACAGCTCATAGCTCACAGCCCATTAGCTTAGCATAGCATAAAAACAGGTTGTAATATTTACAGTCTATGGTTGAAACAGGCTGCCTCGTGCCAGAAACACAAATAAGCCCTGTGAGTTATTACTACATTCTGGATTTAATTATCTTTCAAGGTGTCCTGTTGGGACTACAAGAGAAAGCCAGGCAAGCTTTTCCCCCATTTCCAGTCTTTACGCTAAGCTAACTGAGCTAACCGGCTGTTTACAGTAAACCTAACAAAACATTTAGCCGACAATATGGGCATGGTATGAATCATCACATCCATCTCTCTGCAAGAGAGGAAAGAAGTTTTCTTCTGGCAATTAAGAACTATTCATATTGCTATTCTATTAAAATCTTTATTTAACCAGGAAAAGCTCACAAGTTCAATGAGCCATTACAACTTTGGAAGCACAAGCCTTGTTTTTCTCTCACTGCGAGACACCATCATGAAAATCTCCAGATGTTTCCCTTTAATGTAAGAAAAGTCTGAAAGTGATTGTGTTACTTCCAATGTCATTAAAACGAAAAAATGTTTAGAAGCAGAAATATTATAAAAATACCTTTTCCATGATGGCTCACACGTATTTATGTTTTATATATCTGACAAGTGTTGGTGAAATATGATTGTGCTAAATTACTTTAATTTTGGTTCCAAATATAAATACAAAAAGTCCAATTTGATCACCACCATGCTGTACCTGTACGAGGATGTCAGTTGCATTGCCCTATTCTGTGTGACACTAAAATGCATGTCAACTATTCTACATTGTATAAATGAGCATTCATATCTTCATCCTTGAGGTCCAGTGTCACGTGTACTAAACTTGCTTTTTAGTCTGTGTGTGCGAGTGTGTGTATGTGTGTGTTTGGGAGTTGTGTATTTTGGGTCATTTTGACTTCCTCTGAATGGAAACTGATTGTGGTTCGTAGTCCTTCATGTCTCTTGCTGTGCCTTTAACAATCACTCCCTTTTGTAAGACAATCCAGCATGGCCCGAAATATGCTGCATGGACTGAAAACTAAAGAGTTAGGGAAACAACAAAAAGATAAAACCAACCTGATAACAAACACAAAACAAACCCGAGCAGTAATTTTCAATCAGTGGTGATGTTTTCATCTTACATTTAGTCCTCAAAGCCCTGAGCTCCTTCCACTTACATCTTCACCCAGCATCCCAGTGGTAACTTTTCTGGGGCTTCATGATTTTGTGATGGTTACTGATCTGTCGATGCCCAAACCCTCCTCAGTTCTTTGCACGTTTAGGATTCTACTTCTTCACCTTGGAAAAGAAGTTCAGTTGACAATCTGCACGTGCAACTTATTAGCTTTTAATGAGATTTTAAGAATAAACTGTAACAGGAAGCTCGCACTGCAACATAGACGTGTGTAGTAGTAGAATCAGAGTAAACTAGAAAGTTTGAACATTTTCACATGAATGACTGGTGGAGGAGCTAACATCGTCTGCTGATGAAAACAATGTTGTAAGAGCAAAAGCTCAAGAAAAAGCTAGCAAGTTGACCTTGAGTAGGTTTTTTTTTCACATTCAAGCACTTTCAATCAGCATTTCTTTACATTACAGCATTTCTGTAGGTTTTTTAAAGCATACATTGTGGCCTGTCTGTGCCTTGTTCTTTAACTCAATCCATATTTTTCAGTTCACCTGCTGTGTTCTTCTTTTTACAGATCATTTATGTTACATTGATCAACGTTTTATTTAAAAGTTTATTCTGTCAGTTCTTTTGTCTTTTTTTAATTTACTGACATGTTTGAATTCTAGTGACAGTGATGCATTCAATCATCTCTCAGAGGAGGCAAAGATGTTCTTTCTGCTTTGAAGAGTGAATTTGAATATTGTTTTGTGTTTGAAGTAGACTTAATTATCATTTTCCCAAGACGTACTTTTGCAAAATTGATGGAATATTATTATATAAAATTTAATTTATTTGTCCATTTTACAGGAATTAAACCTAAGCTGCTCGTGCTGCATTAAACACATGGAAGCTGGCAGTAAAGTGAGTACGAAGTGGTCAGTTCAGAGAATTCAGAAGTCCCGTATATTCGGTTAAAAAAAAAAAAACATCAAAGAGCCTCTCAGAGTTTCTTTCTCTTTGCCAACATATCCTGTGGTTTTCTCTTGGAAACGCTTGTTTCACAGATCATTAAACACACTTTCCTTTGAAATATACTAATAAAAATTATTAGGGTATTTTTAGTTCTAATGGCCCTGCAAGGATGGATTGTCCATTTGATGCTTACCTAGTTTTATTGTGTCCTGTCGTGTCTGTTGACATTCAGTCAGCTTGACTCTCTGAGGTTTAGTCCGTGCCACTGGAGCTTTCCAGACATGTCAACTGTGTTTTGCTCTTTGTTTTTTTATTGTGTGTATCATGACTAGCCTTCTCGATGTCATATATGAGCAGCCCACTGCTTAGGTTGTTTGATCTCTGAGAAGAAGGTTGAGGTTGGGGAATGGTCTGCGTTTCAGATTGATCTCTGTCAGGCTAACAGTTTTCATCTGTTCAAAGTGAAGTGCTGTGATCTGAAATTAAAACAAATTCATCCCAATCCACTCATCTTGTGGCTTGACCTCCTTATTGCTCTCATCTACTGTGGTCTGTGATGAAGGGTTTTTGAAAGGCGGTGAGTCAGACTTCATGTGGTAAGTAGTAGTGCAATACTGAATGTGCACACAATGCCTAATGTGCAAAGCTTATTGTGCACTGGTTTTTGAAAAAAAAAAAAAGAAAATTCTTTAACACAATGTTTTGCTCTCTTGCCAAGATTATTTTGGCGGACTGGTACCACTGTAGACTGTTTGAGTTATTGGTATAGTCAGTTTTAAACATGCAGTAAATAGAGAATTACCTTAAACCTGCACTTTTTCAAACGTTCAGCAGGCTGCAAAATCAATTCTGATTGGATGGAATTGGATCAGAAAATGACTTTCTTCTCAAATGATTAATCCTCAGGAAACATTGTCCTAAAAAAGGTGATTTTCTCAATCAAATAGTATCTAGACTTCTTTCTTGTAGTAGGAGGAAAATTTCCCCTTTAGAGTAAAATAATAAAGTAGCATATCTTTAAGGGCTCAGCTACCAGCGATTGAGAGTTCCTGCAACTCACCACTTCTATCTGAAAAAACAACAACAAGCACACAATATGGAAATGTGAAACCCTACTCCAAAATAATAAGCAAATGGCTGATGGTGTAGTAGCTAACCTGGTGTCCAGGCCCCACTACAGGGGCACGTTTTGTCTGCTCTGAGTTTGTCAATTTAAACTTGCATAATTAACTTAATTCATGAGAACACAATCACAATTGTGAACATGAAGCCTGCAACATGCTGGCTTAGCATGAGAACATGCAAGCAGGAAAAACAGCTATCCTAGCTCTGTTGGAAAGCAACAAAATGTGCGTACCAGCTTTGCTACAGCTCACAAATTCATGGTTTCTGGTTCCTCTTTTTCTATTCTTTGATCCCAGTTTGTTGGTTTTAGTTTTCTAGTAACTGTACAGACATGAAAGTACTATTAGTCATCCCAACTCTGTCCCAAAATGTCAAACTCTGTAAAACGATAAGTGAACTAATTAACAGACCATCTCGCCAAAGATAACCACAGACCGGAAACCCTCATTTCACAGCGCCCTGACTTGTTAATACAGGTGCATGCTGGCTTATTTGAAGCATTATGTATGTACGTGAATTAGGTTGGGTCAGGCCTGTGAAAATACTAAACTGGCCTCACTGGTCCCGAAAACCACATGTAAGGGTGGAAGGGGCAATTAATTGTGTGAGCGTCTGCTTTCATCCAAACCACATAATAAAGCTGTGGCACCACAGAGCCAATGGTAAATGCTGTTCCAGCAAAAGAGAGCTAGTATATTTTGTTCTAAAAAAAATAGTGTCTCACACTGAATTGATGGATGTCATTTTCTGCAATGTTAGAAAAAAAAAATCAAGATTTCATTCCTTTTATTATATACGGTTCTTCTTCGTTGCTAAGTGTATTATAAAAAGAAAGAAAGGTCCCTGACATTTCTTCTGTCACCCTTGGCAACTGCGAGTATGCTCCTCAGTGAAAGGTGAACTCCTCTGGGTGCACGGCGCACCTCTCGCCTTTCCCACCCCAATACGTGCAACAGGAAATGTCTCCTCCTGTTGCAAACATGCTCCTACTCATGTGTTAGATTTAGCATGCAAATATTGTTCTGTTAGGTGGTTGTGTTTTATATTTACATAATATTGTGGATCAAAGTTGTGCAAAAACTATTCTCATATTTTTAATGATGTTCAGCTAAAAGGTTTAAAAGCAGCAATCGAATGCAGCAGATCAGGTGATTGTAGGTCATGCTGCATCGGGAGCAGCACAAAGGTTGTGTATAAGCGTGACACTTTTTGAACTCCCAACAGAACCACAAAAAAACAATTATTCTTCAGTTATCAGAGGATTTCATTTAGGTGCTCAGTCACACAGTCCTTTTCCTATTTTTTTTAATGTCCTTAATGGGTAATGTAAAAAGGTGCTGTGAAGTCTCGATGACTGTTTCATTCCTGGCTACAAAGAACATGAAGAACATGTGCAGAAGGTCCACACATAATATCAACAAATGCACCGATGTGACCTGCGTTATGTTAGGAAATGTGATAAAAGTCCAGTAGTGAACTCCAAAGTTAAAATGTTTCTCCCTTGAGCCTATATACACTTGATTGGTAACAACAACTCAGTTGGAGACTCTTTTTTTAGAAATTACACAACTTCTTCTTTACTTCAAGCACTTAAAGCATCCTTCGAGGTAAAGATGAAGTCATAAAATAAGAAACACTAAGTTTAACACCAAAGATACACCAGCACCTATAATGAATCAGGTGGCATAGGAGGTAGAAATAAGTGAGAACATCAGTCAGGCTCTGTGAATTTTAGAAGACCACCAGATGTGAAACACAACAAAAGTTTACCAGCATTTACAATCCTGAAATCCCTATAGTGATATAGCATTTTAACCAGACACATACAGATACAAACCCTCAGTAAACTAGTATCTATAGCCCAGGGATGTAGTAGTCAAACGGTGATATTAGATACCCTCTTAGGCAGATAGGTAGAATAAAATTGAAACTTCAAGAAGGATACTGGGAATATAAATTCATGCCGTCAGCATATCAGACCAAAAAGACCAAACCCATCAATAAATGGATCCCAACCGATCATTATTGTTTATAGCCAGGGCCTGAAATAACCAAGCTTTCTCGTCTGTGATGGAAGTTCCATTGTTGTCTAAATACACTGTAAACCCCACGATTGAGCCACACTGTTGCACTGTGTGACATATTCTGTCATTAACATGAAGTTGGGCACTGAAGTTTATTTTCAGTCAACCCCACATACACCATGCTCATGCTCTCATTACTTCTCTTTAAAACTAAACAGTAGCAAAAGCATAGCTAGCATGGAAGTGAGGCAGCAGCTGCCTCTTCAATCTTTATGTGTCTAAGTAAAATGTGCGCAGGCATAGTACTGAGTGTATGTCACATTAAGCACCACTCAGAAGCCAAGCAATTCACTGTTGCATGTGAAGATAGGACTTTTTGCAGCTTGGATATAATCAGTGATAAACCATGATTAACCCTACTTAAAAGAGAATTTTGACCTTCCAAGATCGAAGGGGAGGCTGTTCTACAGTTAAAGGTCATAAAAATGTAAAGCCACTTCACCAGATTCCTTGAGGTAAAAACTCCATTATTTCTAAAAGAAATACAGAGAAAGATCTGAGTGGGGATATAAAATAAATTAACTATCCAAGTGTTTTGTACAGTAAACCTACAAGATACACATCCTGGAGTGGAGACTAATGGTTTGAGACAAATACAGGAGAGAGACTTCAGTAAGTAATAGTTATTGCATCACTCTTTCTAAGGTAGGGAAAGTTGCTTACAGCCAGAAATGAATAATATAACCTTATTCTTTAACTAAGTGTTGATAGACAGCTCATTCCCTCTGTTGGGTTGCTGTCTCCATCTGAGCGAGCTATCAGAGAAAACCCTATTAGTGTGTATATGTAGCCATTGTTCAACCCCTATGTCTCTTCACAGTATGATTTATAATGAGTGAGTTATCAAGCAATACCTTTGTTTTTTCTCCAGTTGCCATGACAACATTGGATACTCCGCCATACTTGAGCCCAATGCAGACTTTCTAAAAATAATGTGCGTTGTCTTTTCTCACAGACTCCTCTCCAGACGACAGCCTTCAGAGAAAACCCTCGTTCACTACAAGGTAAGCCTGTACGACTCTAGGGGCCGGCTAACGATTTACCACAAGGTTAATTAACCCCTTGTGTATCGCAGTCATTAATTGAAAATTGTGGTAATCTTGAATTGAGAAGGTCAGGCCAGAGTCTCCATGAAGTCAAGTTGCTGGACATCTCCGGGTCAGTGTTGTTGTGGAGGCTGAAGTGAGACGAGCAGTGAAAAAATACTGTCAGTGAGACAGAGAGAATGAGGATAACATCTAAAGTGCAGAGAGACAGATTAGGGCCATGTCAGCCTCTGCTCCAACAGCAGAACAGACAGCCAGTTCATGGATGTGACGTTTACAATGATATAAACAAATTGTATCAACCGGAGAAATTTGCAGTGTGTTCAAATAGCTCATTATATTACCTCCCTTTTTCCATTTCACTAATTTTGGTTTCAAGCAGAAACACACACATAACTCTTAAAGATTTGACTTGCTTTTTGAGAAAAATATCAACAAAAATGTCCACATACCAGGAAGCAAATACCAGGATGACATTGTGCAGTTGCATGAGTAAGTGGGCTGATGAGCCTAATGTCGCCCTCGTCTCTGTAGCCGAGAGCGATAAGTCATTCGGTGCTTGGGTCTTATGTAACACTGGAGCATGGGCAGTCAGTGGGAAGGAAAATCAAGCATGGTGTGATTGATTTCAAATGCTGACAACTGTGTTGTAACCATCATCGGCCTGTGAAAAACAATCTGAGAGCCAGAGGAAAACACACTGACCTTGTTTAGCAGTAAAATATCCACATATCACTTTATTTAGTTTCAAGTAAGCACAAAACATGTTTTTTTTTTTTAAGTGTAGGATGGAATTCAGCTTACAAAGAGTGAGTAATTGCATTTACACTTTAAATAATCATAACAATATTGTGCGTTTTTGGTTGAAGGATAACTGGGTGAAGTCATCGTTGTATAGTAGCAGCTGATAATGATGAGGTAGACAGTGACACAGGCAATATGTACAGAGCTGGGTGTTAAAAAGATAACATGCCAGATGTCAGTCATGTCTGCAATGTCAGGTTATAAAAAAAAACAAAAAAACATGGAGAACGACAACCTGCATTGGGCTGAGTACTGAATTGCTATAAATACACCACCTACACAGTGAGTTAATAAACATTATACCTGCAGACTGGAGAGTTAACATCATCTGCAGGGGTAGAAATGCTCAATAAAACTCAGCTTTTTCTTTTTTTAAATGTCCTCTAACAATTGCACATGAATAAGGGTAAACAAAGCAGGGTCAACAAATTAAAACATCTGGATGATGTACTCACATTAAAAAAGTCAACGCTCTTAACTACACAAATATTTCATACTATATAAAAATAAACTTTGTCCAAGTAAACGCAGACTTGGATTAAACAGTTGTACTGTATGCTGTTATTCTCTATAACTGGCACCCTGTTGCTAAGTTACTTGGCATTATGACTATGAATGTAAATAAGAGCTGCGGATGATACACACGGCAGAATGGCAGAAATAATCTTTGTTCATAAATTCAGTTTGTCTTTGTTTTATAATCAAAAACAAATGTTCACATTTTCTTTATGTTAATGAGGATACGATGTGTGGGAGGAAAAACAAATAACTAACACTAAGCTGCTCATCTTCACCTCCAAAGCTAAAGCTATAGTATGTTTGTAGCCACAATAACACGGATGATTAGCAATACTGAGAGAAGCGATTACAGTACAACAAATCTACTACTTCAATACAATGACTGGAGACGGATAGGTACAGAACAAAGATTGTATACTGCCTCTAAGATGCCCTTTACTTTAAAACGTTATAAAGGTCGCATAACAGTCTATGATTAAGAGTCTAACAGTCAGCTGAAGCCTATGGGAATACTCACAGCCTTTACTAAAGTGAATATCACACACTGAGTTGAGTGAGGTGAACTTGCACGCCTTAACAGTCATTGTTCTCCGAAGAAAGCTATCAGAGTATAACAGTTCTTGTCAGTATATAAAGATGTTTTTAATTTGCTTATCAATGGGTTACTGTTAGATAAAGTCTTACACACTAAAAAAAAAAGGAGTACGAATATGTTATAATAATAATAATAATAATAATAGAAAGCACAGTAATAGTTTAAGTTGGATAGGATTTTCTTCTGTATATTCCATATGTCATAACACTTTGAAGATGTTTTGTAAAGTATCACTGTGTTCCAGTTAGAAAGAGAGCTGCCCATGCTGGCCACAGTAACACAACAGTCTGTAGTGTGTGATGCCTAAATATATGATCTATCACCTGTTTTAAGATACATCACAAAGACCACTACAGTCACTGTTATAATTTGAGTAGATATATCAACTCATTATATACATAGAGACTTAACAGTTATCCTTTATCTCATAGAGAGGCGCTCAGACTTCAGGTCCGAAACTTGGAGGAAGTGAAGCAGGCTGGCTCAGGTCCTCACAGCTTAACAGCAGCATTGCCTGGCAGCTAAACATCCACAGCAAAGAAAATAAACTCTGTGATTGGTTGATCCAATAGTAACCACACCGAACATTTGCTACGCTATGCGACCCCACTCACAGAGCAAATGTACAGCAGCCAAAGCCACAATGCTGTAAGTTACACAGCCTTATTCCATGGCAACCATGTCGAGTGATTTGACAGCAACTGCTCAGCAGCACCTGCCGTGTGCCTCAGTCCGCCTTGTCTTCCCCGTTCTTGGCCCAGCCTCGGCTCATGGCTGCTACCACAATGCTGTACATGTTGAGCCAGGCTTGACGCAGTGGTGCTGTGTAGGCCTGACCCAGACTGCACTGCAGCATGTAGAGGAGGGACTCACCCACCACCTTAAAGCACAAAACACACACACAGAGAATATTTTACCCCATATTTGTCACAGCTCATTCACTCGTGTAATTGCTTTTCCAGAGTTGTTCCATTTAATTTTTTTCCTACAGCGAATGACTGTGTGTTGACTCCAACCGCCTGATGCTTCCTCCCAAGGTTGAGCAGAAAGTCCTCCAAGGAGTGAAGGTCGTCCAGGTGGCTGACTGCTGCATCGATCACAAGCATCACCTGCGATCACATGCAAATGCACATGCAGAGAGAGTTTCAACCGTGCACAGGCATAGAGTGCAACTTGAGTTTGTGAGTGTGGTAAACAGAGCTCACCTTGGTGACATGTTCCAGGAACTGAGGGCTGGAGAGGCAGTCTTGTGTGGAGCCACAGTTTGTATTGTAGTTGAAAAGAGTGAGGAGCGCAGGGTCCAGCTCAAACAGTCTACCACAGACAAATACCACACTGTTCTATACGTGTATACACATCCATAACAATCAATCTGTAAATCCTGCATCTACAAATCTCTTGTGCTTGTCATGGATTTAGTGGCAGCTGTCTCAGAGTAAATTGTGGATTATTGCAGCTCGTCGCCAGGCAACAAGTCAAGCTTCCGGTCCCTGCATGGTGAAAGTGTGCAGCAAAAGATCTAGCTTGATTCTCTCTCAACACCTTGGTTACGTCTTCCAGCACAGCTTTTAAAAACAGCAGAAAAACAGCAAGATACTTCTATCTTAAGGAAAGCATTTGCTTAGATGAAATGATATCTGCACAGAATAGATGTTCTCCTCCTTTAACACATTCTTCACTGTCTAATTCTATTTGAATTTTTCGTGATAGTGTGAAACATTACCTGGAAAACATGATGACACCATGAGGAACTTTATTCTTGCCCAGGCTCTCCCAGCTTCCTCGTATCAGCTCCTTGTCTTTCCCTGACAGCTCCTCCATCCTCCCTCAGGCTGTAAACACAAGGCAAGTTTGTCTAGAGGGGGGAGACAAACAACTTCTCTACAGGACAAGAAGGGGCAGTGTGAGGAAATCCATAACATGTGAGGTAATCCAAGGAGGAAACTTCTGTCACCTGGAAAACAAAGTGGACAATGGAAGAAGCGCAACAGCTGATTTTACCAACAATGTTTCCACAACAAAGGGAGAAACAGCAGCTAGGGATGCACAAATATACTGTACCTTCCTGGAGTCAATCTTCCCTCTGAACTTCTTCTGTTGCAGCAAGGCTTTGGGGTCTGTGTGAGTGTGTTTGTGTGTGTGCAGGCTGCAGCCTTGCCTGACACTCTGGTGCACTTGCTCTCTATCTTTCCCTGGCCCACAGTGCTAGTCAGGGAGAGTTGTGCCACGCTCTTATCTGTCACACTGGCTGCTATCTCTCTCTCCCTTTCCCCGTTTGCCTCTTGATATGCTCTCTCTCCTGCACGGGGATGATATTATTCATGCCACTGAAGGAGAAAAAGAGGGATCTGTCTCTTCTGCTTCAGAGAGGCTGCAGCGAGCCACAGCTCCTCCTGCAGGTGAACCATGGACTAAAACACAGACTGAACATGCACACACAACATACATTGTGCTTACACTGTAAAATACTCAGCGTTCAATAAGAAGACAATTCAAATGCACAAGAAATGAATAAAACATGGTTAAAAAGGAAACACAACATATGCATGTATTGCAGAGCAGTTGCAGTTGTTTAAAGGCTCAGTAGAAAAAGTGTATGTATATATATATATCATGAAAAGGAGCCCCACAGGCAGGGGGTTATTGGAGCGTTATATAAGCTGCTGAGCTGATGAGGATGTGGGAACAGGTGGGCAGGTGGGCGGGTTTCGTCAGGTGATGAGGAATGGAGGGAGCTCAGGGGTAACTGAAGGGCAGGAGAGTCTACACGTCAGAAAAAAATATCAGACAAATATGTCACAAATATTAGACCTAGAACTCTGTCATTGTGACAGTTAATAGGATTGAGAGCGATAGGATCTATTTCACGGTGTTTCCTCGGCTGCATATATTTGCAACCCATGCATTTACATAATTAAACGTGTGGGAGTTTCTATATCCTAAAGCAGCTGGGGGAAAAATGCACCAATTTGGTAAAAATATATTGTTCATCTGCCAAACAGGGCCACTCAATTAGCCCGATCTGAACATTTGTTTGCCCAGCACACAGCCTCTCATTAATCTAAATGAGACATGTTTATTCCCTCTCTCAGCTTCTAAATGCGTTCCACTTCAGTTTGTTTCAAGACAGGTCACAGGAGTCTGCTACAGCAGGAGGAAGCTTCTCACTTGGATATTATCTGACATATGCTAAGAGATTGGCTCTGTTTTTTCAGCCGTGCATCAGGGGAATCAGAGTCGCATAGTGTTCTCCTGAGGGACGACAAGGCCGAGTGGGGAGGGAAACACGGTTCCCATGACAACCTGACAGGATAGAGCCCTTGAGGTGTCATGTGATGTTTGATATTTCATGGAAAAGACCCTAGGATTAATTATTATATAAATAAGTTGTTATTTGACAACATTTTAGCTTTTATACTTTTTGGTCTTTTTTTGTAAAGAATATTCCAAATATTCAGCTAAATACTGTTACAGACTCTCTTTCCCTGCCATTCTCTGTAGTGATGCACACAAGTCAGGAAGGACAAATAGTAATGTTATTTAATGTGAATTTCTTTTACTGTTATGTTCTGATTGAAAGTTGTTCAAACACTGCTTTTAGCGTAAATGCATGACATATCTGCCTACAGAAAAGTATTATCTCTGGTATGAACTGGTGTCTTCATAATGACATTTTGATTATGATGGTTAAGAAAGACATTCTCGTGTGGTTTGTAAGTAAAAATGATTTCTAAAATTCCAGGAAGTCGGCTTTCTAAGCACAGGTTTACAGTGAAGGCCAGTGTATGAGTGTATTTGATGTGGGTCTATGGGCTCAGAGCAGACCACTTAAATGGTCTCAGTGAGATGTTTATTTAGGTAGTGTGGCAAAAGAAACAACTGGGAACTTTAACCAGAGCATCTGAGAAAAGCCTGTGTCAGACATTAAATGTCCTTATGGGACCTGCCCAATCAAAAAATGACCATTGCTTGTTTTTCAAAGATTCAGCAGAGAAAGAGATCGTATGTACCCTGTAATCTTTTATTTTGATATCAAAAGCTTCTTGATTCAGTGTGGGTCAAACAACAATGATTGGTGCAATTTAATGTTATGTTGTTGTTGAACTGTTTATTCTGGTAACCAAGTATCATAATTCTCTAAATTACAGAGTTTTTATTCTTAAGCAAAACTGTGGTCTAAAAAAACCAAACGCAGATTTTTTTACGTTTAATTTATTTTCCTTGAAATGTCATGATATGTGTTAAACTCAAAGCATATACAAATATTTACAACCTAGAACGTATACACTTCTATAAACTTTTACTGTCTATAACTTGTAATTGCAAAAATTTCCGATTGTAAAACCCAGAACGTTTTATAATTTCATAATTTATGGTTGAACATCTTAAACAACCAAACGCTTGCTGCGGACAGTAAGCCGTGACATGAATCATTTTTGAGGACGCTGTTGTTTTCTGACGGTGAAGCCACAAAAACTCTGTGCCGCCTTAACCCTTCTGATCATGGTATTTCTCCTTTGGACTTCACGCTCTTCTCATCCACATCTTCAATTTTCTCCCCGTCGTCTACATTTTCATCCCTAAATCAGACATGTTGGGTTAGAAAATGACTATATTGTAATTATGTCGAACTTTTGCTTGGCTACAGTTTTTGTCTTTTCTTCACTGAAGACTTGCAGGGCAAGCTCAGAAAATTATGTAATGTAAAATGATTTAACCACATGAAGTCCTTGGCTCTGAAGCACTAGTGCTATTCATATTTTTACTGGATACAGTGGTATGTTATGGTGGATGTTAAACAAATTTGCTTAAAAATCCCACCCTGCTTACCTGCTCTGAATGTCATTCTCGTCTATGTCTTCATCTGATCTGGATGATGTTGCCTCTCCTTTTTCTTCAACAAATTGCTCCTTTAATCCGGCTTTCTTCAGCTTGTTCCTGTACGTCTGCTCTGCATGAGCTTTTGCATTTTTCTGCCAGTAAACACTCAAGAGTTATACTGGACAGGCTTGTCATTTAAAACAAGGTTTGATCTGCTCATTTACTGTGCTACTCACCTGTGTCACCTGTTCAAACAAATAAGGGCGTTCACTGACGCGTGCCTTCATGTTCCGTAACTCCTTCATGTACTCTCTCGTCCGCTGATTGTCAGCTTCCCTTCAAATTGGAGGAGATTACAGTTCCAGCAGTTGTGGTTGTCGTGATGTCACTTTAAAATTTTCCAAAACTGGACTATGAACGGCCTCAATTGACTGACACTCACCAATGCTGCTGTAGTTTCTCATGACACACTTCTTTCAAGCTGCTGTGTGGGTCCAGCAGCCTAGCATGGAGTGAGACCGTCTTCTGCATGACCTGGGACCTCATGTGGAACTTCCTTAACCAGTCCACACTCTCCTGATTCTTGCTCTCCCTCAATTCCATTGACTTTCTGAAGAGTAAAAAAAAAAATCGTCATTTTAGAGGATATAACTATTTAGTGTAAAAGTAAAATACATTTATTTAAAAAATGACTGTCTAAAGTAACAAAGGCATTAAAAATCACCTGATGGCCATGCAGCGCTTCCTGACGGCATCTGTTATAAATGTGGGGAGTGTGTCTGTGGAGAGTGAAGTTAGGGCCCCCATTGATTTGCTTCTACAGAGCTGACTTGGTCTTGGTATCTGTACACAAGGAACAATATGAATATATCAACTTAGAAATAAAACCGATCAGTAGGAAGAAGAGCAACACCTGACTCATAAATTACGTGTAAAATTCTTGGCCCTCTCGACCTCTAACCTGGCTTACCGCAGCAGACAAGTCAGGGCTCTATGGTATATTCAAGTTCTAGGTTTACCAAAAACACATATCCTACCTCTACTCCTCTGGCCACTGCTTATCTACGAAGTCTACGAATCATCATGGAAGGCTTCGAGAGAAAGATCATTCAGAGAGTTCCCACACAGGTGGCTTGAGCAGCAGTGCCCTGTGCTGGTGAAACACCAAGCTGTGGTTTCCCTGCTGCAGACTGGTAGAGGAGTTCAAGATCATCTGAGACAGGGAGCTACTTCTCTACGAGACTCCACTGACTCAAAATTCACCTCATCAAGGTCAGAACAGAAAGGAAGTGGTGTGAACAAGATGCAGTAGAGCGAGCTGAGGAAAGGCTGCGGCAAAGCATCTTGGTTGGCACAGTGGAGACCGGTCAGGCCGGCCTTGAAAGCATCCAACAACCTGCTTTAGTAGAGCCAGTGAGAAGAAGCTCCACCAGCTCGTATAGTCTGTTCACTTCAGCAAGACACTGGCAGACATCATTGCAGTCAACACACTCAGGCCTGACATGGCCCTAAAGTCCAGGGAGTCTAAGCAACGGGTTTCAAGATGAGCTTCCCTTAGACAGACAGATTAAAGGAGGCTCAGAGCATAGTATGTATATCATGTAGCCAACTGTCAGTGACAGGGGAAGAAGGACTGCTGTTAGCCTGTGGAAGTGGCTTGTAGGAGCTTTGGAGGCCAGTCTCTTCACCAGATCCTTGGACTCCATCAGGAATATCCTCAAAGCAGCTTCCTGATGGCTCTGGTTGAAGAGGGGTGACACATGACAGAATGGACTACCTGGACTGAAGTTGGGACCTGAGCACCCACATGCTTGGTCTTCTGGTGAGGTTTTCAGATGATAAGGGTATCAGGGTATATCACTGCTGATGTGACCAGGTTGCACCACAAGTTGTATTATACATAGAATAGCTATTGTCGCGACTTTCCAGAACAATTAAGCTCCTGAGAAGCTGAGGTTGGGCTTAGTATTTTGTATGATGGGCTTACCAAAGAAATCACTGCAATACGAAAAATACGCTTGACTTTTTATGAATGAACAAAAATAAACGGACTTATGATGACGTGCATTAACTAAAAAAAAGTAATCAAAGTGAGCCAAAAACAATAGCGGTCAACAATATACCCATACCCATGTGACCCGCTATCCGCCTTCTCATTATAATCCCACAATAAATGATTTCATAAATAAGAACCCAGAACACCAAAATATAACGCACTACATACCTTAACCTTAAAAATACTTAAAATATACACCTAAATCCATCCATGGCTCAATCAGCTATACATTTATCAACTATGAGGTAATTTAGTACTATAACCCAAGTTTGTTGATCTACAAACTGAAGGTTGGCACTCGAAGACGCTTCTGTAAAGAAGCGTCTTTGAGTGCCAACCTTCAAACACAAATTTAAATATAGATAATAAATACAGTAGCATAGACAGAAGAATCAGCCTTTAAATGCCTGACAGAGTTAATTAAGATCCTCTTTAGTAACTATATAATACCTGAGTGAGAACATTAGTCAAAAAGGGTAAAAAAGGCTCTTTTTATCACTTTGGATCAGTGTTAATTACTGACATGCTTATTTAACTACATCTGTAAATATTTTTACTCGTGAAGACATTTGAATGAAGATTCCATATTAGTTTTAAAAATGTGATGAATTTCACAAACTATATTTCTGTCCTAAAGTGTGTAAAGAATTGTAAATGCTAGAAAAATCCAAACATGTAATCAAAAAAAGAAAGAAAGCTTCACTAAAATTGCTCCTATCGGTTGTGTTAACTCCAACCAAACTGTAAGGATATGAATAAATGAATAGCAGCAACTAAAATATTAACCAAATAACCATTTACACAATTCTCAAAGTAAACCAAACAACATCTCTGAGGTATTGAAAATGTTTTACCTGTAAGGGTTCAGAACTTATCCTACTTTGCCTCGCAGGCAGCGCTGCTGTTCTCAGATGAAAGGGCTGACATTTTATCCCGTCTTTATTCTGTGTCTTTTTCAGCCCCTGTGTCTGCAAAGCTCTGTGCATCCTGCTGAAATCAGGGATCTGATGGTTGATTTTAGGCTGGAAGCTCGGCCTCTCATTTAGGAATCCCAACTTTTCCTTCCTGGTGCGGTCAGCAGTGCGAAGTTTGGTGCTGCCAGACACAGCAGGACTCTCTCGTTGGACTGATGTCAGAGTGGCAACTTGTCTGCAAAGTTCCTGGTCTGTCCAAAATAACAGAGAGGCAGAAAATATGATTTAGTAACGTCGCAAGTGTAAGAGACACAAATTCAACATCCGATATTTTTGTCTTTCAACACTTAGATCCCATTTCACTTCATCTACTGCAAAAAAAAAAACGTTCATTTGTATATAGGCTATTAAAAAGGCAGAAGTGAATTAATCTATATACATTTAAAATACAATTTATTTTAACAACGCTGAATGTTTTTATAAAGTTAAAATGGAAAAGTAAAAAAATATATAAATGCAAAATATAAATATAAATACAATGTAGGTCAGATTTCAGGAACATAATGAGCAGTGTGTGTTGTTTTTAGCACACTGGATTCTGCATACTATCAAATTTGTGAACCACTGCATCTCTTCAAAGTTCTGGTTCTCTTCTCCTGTCAATAATCTCCCACTTTAGGTCTGAGTAAAACTCTTTCTTCTTTTAAGAGCAGGCTGTGAACTTCTTTTTGACTCAGGTTTGCATTAGAACAACTTCTAGCTATGCAGCTAAAGGCTTTAACCACTATCTCTTTTATGCATCCACGCCCCAATACACAGAACTTTAATTTTGTTATGTCCTTAAATTTGTGGTTAGGGCTTCTATTATTTTCATAGTCAGTCACAATTCATACATTATCAACTTGATTCAGGTATTGTTTTGCTTATTTTTTAATTTGATGTACTTTACTAATCCAAGAGAAATTCTGGTTTTACACTCTGTTAATTAGAGACATGTTTCTAACACACATAGGCCCGACACAAACCGGACCAATGGACATATATTAATAAGAAATGTCAGAGTGGGGCTGCTACACACGGAGTACACCAGAGCTGTTGAGGGTTTGGTGCCTTGCTCAAGGGTACCTTGGCAGTACTCGGGGCCAACTTTGGTCCGCACCGGAACTTAAAACGGCGACCCCCTGGTTCCCAACCCAGATCTCTACAGACTGAGCTACTGCCGCCCCCAGTTCCCAGGTCATGCAGAAGACAGTCACACTCCAAGCTAAAGATTCTGATCTCTTGATGTTATCAATGAATTCTAAATTTAAACGAGCGAGCTTTACCATCAGCAAAGAAAAACCCACCTTTCAGTTCTGAATCTGTCTTTAGCAAATCTTTAGCCTCTTTATCTGGAGGTTTCTTACAGCAGCGACCTTGTTTTTATTATCCTGTGACACTTGGTCTGACATTGCTATCAACTTCTCTTTTTTCTCCTTTTCTCTCTCCTGAAAGTTGAAAGGTTTTTGAATAGAGAGCAAGAAGTCCCTCCTCTGCTCACGACCCTGCTTCCTCTCTTTCTCTCTCAGCTCCATCATCTCCTGATAGAGGGGTTGAGTGACGTGGCTTGGGACTGGGAGAGCACAGAACTTCTTCTGACACTCAGCCTCGGCCTCCCTCTCTTTTCTCAACTGTGTAGGGGTAAAGGTGGTCCTGTCCGGAAAATGCTTCCAGCTTGTTGCACAAACAGAGGCTGGAGGAGATGAGTTTGGCCTCTCTGACTGTCTGGGATGGTGAAAAGTATCTTGACGTTGAGATGTAGATCTTCTCAGATCACCATGTCTTAAAAAAACAACAGCAGAGATTGTTAGAACATAATAACATACTGCTCGACAAACTGGAACAGTGGGTGGGACTTTCTGGTAATGTACTGAACTGGTTCAAGTCATACTTACATGGCAGGGACTATTTTGTTTGTTTTGTCTACTTTAAATCTGGGCATAGAAATATAATATGTGGCCCAAGGATCCATTTTTGGGGCCCATTCTTTTAAATATCTACATCCTGCCGCTTGCTCAGATTCTAGAGTATCATAACATCTCTTACCATGTTTATGCAGATGACACACAACTGTATTTCTCAGTTACCTCCTATTATAATTGTCTTTGTCCCTAAAAAAAGAAACACTAAAGTACATTGAATCCAAATGTAGGTGTTATTATGGCCTCTGATCTAAATTTGAACAGTCACAAAATCTGCCTATTACCACCTTAATATATGATGAACAAAGGATTAATGTCTAAAAATGACGACTTTTTCATGCTTTTTTTAGCATACTATATTATTCAAAGAGTGTCATTACAGGTCTTAATTAAAAATGTATCAGACAGCTGCAATTCATCTAAATGTTGCTGAAAGAGCAATGTATTTTATTTTGATGAAATCTATATTAAATATGTTGTTTTTAATGAATCTTTCTATTTGAATATACATTTTAATCAATTAATTCAATGAATTTTGTTCAATTATTTTAATTAATTTAGAGATCTCACTGACAATTGGTGAAGTTTTGAGATGTAAAGACTGTGGGTTGATTTCACCACAACAGCACCCCTGTGGTTGTCCTCAGGGGAGTATCAGGCTATACCTGATACAGACTGTATGCCTAAATCATCAGGAAGATCTTCGTGGAAGGATTGTTATACAAAATGTATTTTGATTAAGTAGGACCAGTAAGCGTACCTGTGTATACCTGCTAGGTAAGACTTTTAACTTGCCTTGCCTTTAGGAACACACACACATACATTTATATAATTTATAATAAAAAGGGTGAACACAATAAAAATAAAAACCTACTTAGCATGCTGGTTTACTTTATTTTTGTCACCAGACTCTTGATTATCATATGTGACAAGAGAGTATTCTGATGGATTCTCCTCTCCAGCTGCTCTCTCTGTTCCTTCTGTGTCTCCTGAAGTTGCTTCATGAGAGCCTCCTTCAGGGTCTTCAGCTGCTGCTGGAGAATCAACTCTGATCTGAGTCCTTCTTCCAGAAAGGTCTCCAGCTTTGACATATTCCTCTGACTGTGAGACTGCTAAAAAAAAAAAAAAAGAATTAAATAAAAGCCAATTGAGTCCACATTTAGTAAAAAGATGACTCTTGTTTACCTTTATCTTGCAGTATATTAGTAAACGTTTTACAGTCTATATGTCCCAAACATATAGACTGTAAATGAAGAGTTAATTTGCAAACACAGATAAAACCCATTCTGAAAAACAGAACTTTAAATATAGCTGTTAGGTTATCCAAACCCAATACAGTCTTAGGGGAAGCCACAAAACCTGTGGTGTGATATTACCTGAAATAAACAATAAATAAAAACGTTTTTTTAAACGGAACTACTTTTGCAAATGAGCTCTTTCAACCTGGTCCCAACCAAAGACTGTAAATATTACCAGTCACGCAAACTGTTGCAATCTTCTTCATGTCACTTCATGTATTTATATTTTAAAAACAATGACTGAATGGTATGTAAACCAAACTTGACGGCTAGAAATGACAACACACATTTTGTTAACATTAAGTTGCCCTTTTTATTGTATGCTAAGGTGTTTATATTTTAAAAATGCCGCGCATTAAACTTCCCGACAACTCCATATTCAGTTTGTGTGAAAAAGGGGTTACCATGGCAACCTCACCTCGGGCACTCGGGACGTGAAGGTTATTTATTTATTGTTAAGTTCGTGGCTGAAATACGTCTCGACGTGCATTTACCTGTAAACCTATATTCAATTCCGCTCTAATATCCCGCCACTTAAAAGCATGATAATCATCAATACACCGACATTTGAAGCGAAAGTTATGATGAATACAGCAAACCCTGGTAGGAGACGAGCTTCTCGCTGGCTCCAAAGCGTCTTCCAAACCCATTTAACTTTGCTCTGTCATGAAACACTGCCATGTTTTCGGAAGGATAATGACATTTATAGATGGTACAAATGTAACAGTAGTTAGTATTATTAGTGAAAGGAAGCAACTACTTAAAACTCACTCCTCTGTTTTGATCGCATTAGCACCGTTTGTGGACATCAGCAGCAACACCAGTCGCCACAGACGTCTTCTCTGATTGGTCACGAAACCGGAAGTACTTCCTTTGGAGCGCTTGTCAACACAACATGGCAGGATTACAGAAGAGACACGGCCGCTGTTTTTAAGGACACAATCAAGGAGAAACGTCTTTTCGATTGCCATATGAACGTGTCCAGACTTCGTACTCGGACTGGTTTGATTGGAGAGTTGTCCTAAATGAAGAAAGATTAAACCATGCACAAGTTAACAAAGGCAACGCTGGCCTTAAACGGTCTTGGTCGGTTTTATATTGCAGAAAAGCATACATCTGCTATAAAAATCATCAGACGAGGATTAGTTAGTGCTGATCATGGGGGTGACTCAGACAAGAGTGATGTTTATGATGTTATTATATCCGGAGGAGGAATGGTTGGATCTGCAATGGCATGTTCTTAGGTGAGTGAGGCTTTCCTAAGACTGACTGTCAACATGTGGGTGTTTGACTTGTGGGTGTTTGCTAAAAGCTAAATCTAAAATAAAAATAACAAAACCACTTTAATAAGGATCTGTCCTCATGTATGTCATACCAGATTGTCCACCACAAGATTAAGACTCTGTCTACAAAAGTGTGCTGTGCTGTGTTTGCTTTTCTTTTTTCTCTTTTTTACAATAATTGCATGATTTATATTAGGTATGGATCCTAACTTGGACGGTAAGAAGATCCTCCTGCTTGAGGCAGGTAACAAGAAAGTGATGGACAAGGTCCCTGACACCTACAGCACCAGAGTCAGCTCCATCAGCCCAGGCTCTGCGACCCTTCTCAGTGGTATAGTTTATCTACTTTTACAACATGACACACAAAAACACTTGTTTTCCATATCTGGGGATGAAATGCATTGTGCAACTTAGAGGACGATTTCAAAAGTTATTTCTGTGGTGATTAGTTCCCTTCCTGGGAGAGGCTTGAGGTGTGAGACTATTTAGAAAAACGCCCACACAGTAAGCCAGGGATCAGACACTGTCCAGACTCTTTGGCTTTGGAGGGATCATATCTGACCTTGATTGGTCCTCATCTGATACGTCAACCTGGACATTTCCTAACACTACGTTTTTTCGTAGTTATGAGACTTTTGTTAAAAGTATAACTAAATGTTTGAGATTAAGGAAAGCGAAAATATTGGACATTTAGTTGCGTAACTTAATCTGGGCCTGATAGACTAATAAGTGTGACATGGTCTATATTCTAAGTCCACCATGCGAGGTCTCGAAACCATAAAGATAGTTGTGACTATCAGTCTGGTCCTTTGTTTTTGTTATTTCAGGATTCAAAACTGTGTCGTACTGGCTTATGATCCACTGTTACACTGTTATTTCTCATCAAAAATACATTTTCATTGTTGAACGCTTACATTGTTATTTTCTTACTGACCCAAGAATACACATGAACACAGCAAACACAGTGACTCACAGTAGTTGTTGTTGTGTAGAAAACAATCGTAGGGTTAAACAGTTTGTCCGTATTACAGTGAAGTTTATCCACATTTCCCCTGAATCAGGTCTGAATTTACATCAAGTTTACATTAGGCTCAGACCCTTACGCTGGTCTTTTGCATTATATTTGTACAGTTTATTATCTTCATCTGATCAAAGTCTTTATTTAATCTTGACACTGAAGTTTCATTGGAGTATTCCATAGAATTTCTGCATTAGCAGTAGTGCCGCGCAAGAAGTTGATTGGAAACATCGTGCTTTGCTGTGACATTGAATTGCCTCAAACTGTTATGTGGATAAACAGAAAATGGTACATATATCCCTCATGCTAATGGAAAATGTTTACTCTATCTTTTACAGCAACTTTACACAAGATGTTAAATTCTTGTTTTTATGGTTTTTAATATAGTTGGATAGGATATCGCCCACTACCACTTAATATAGTGGATGCTGAATTCTGGTATGTAGCACCAGAGCGAGCACTGAGTCAGAGATGTATAAAGATGAATCCAGATGTATTTGTGTTTTTCACTATTTATCTTGTGATTTAGCAGATAGGATCAGTAAATCAGTTTTGAAAAAATCAGATTAGGAAATGTCAATGATGCTTCCTAAATGCTCTGTAGAGTATCAGCAAGTACTTAATGCATGATTTGAATGGGGCTTATAAACACAACTTTTAAGATCCCCAAATATCAATTTTTTTCCCCTTCTCCAAACTAAAACATGTACAGGAATAATAAACATTCTGTCTGCACTAGAAACCGTTTATTCATAGAAGCAAATAAAAAAAGTGAGTCAGTCAAGGCAAGTAAAATGCTAGCTATGAATGTTTTCAAATCACACTTTTTAACGCTATATCTTACGTTTTATTTAAAATGATTATCATTTGATTTTGTAAAAACAGAAATGAAAGCAACTTTATGTCAAATCTAAGTGTCTCCTCTCCTCTTCAGCTGACACATGACGTGAGGAGGAGCTGTTAGCCAGTCTGCAGTTAACGTTGGCTCAGCTTGGTTTTAGTTTAGGATTTCTTCAGTCATATGTGTCAGGCCAGACACCAGTGGTAGCAACATATCACTATCAAACAGGGTTAGAAGGACAGACTACGGTCTGTGATAGTAAAATGATATGTTTATTTTCGTTGCACTATATCATCTGGGCTCTAGTTATCAGCATGTTCTGACAATCAGTAATCAAATCCATTTGTCAAAAAGGAAAAATGGTGTCAGAACATCTTTAAGCAGCAGAAATATGTCTCCTCCTTTAAAGACGAACATTTGTATTACTTCGGACCTTCAGGTGAACAGAGGGAAACTCATCCACTTTACTTGACGTTTCTCTGTTTTTTTTAATTCTTTCCCAGTGCTGCTTCAATCTGCCCAGTTCCTTTAAAACATGACCCTGATCACACTGACTCATTAGATTGATTTCCTTCCAGCATGTACGCAATAAAGACGTGTTTTGACTTTC